ATAGTCACCACACCGCAATTAGATTGGCAGAATTCAATCAGCATCTACAGTGCTAAACAAATAAGACAATGGCTCCGACCAAGTAAACGATCCATTTCATTCACCATTGTAATTAGTTAATCGCTTTATTTCGTTTTGGTTCATGTACTCATCATAGTTGATATTTAAGGTAAACACAATTTAGCGTGTTTTTGTTTGTTTTTGATTCTGCGTAATTCGCATTAATTCCCCTTATCATAATTTGTTTCAATAATCTCATGTATTAACACAATATAGAAGCGTACATGCACATATATTTATATTTGGCACTTATGTAGCTTATCTAATCTTGTTTTTTTTTTACTCAATTCCCTTATTTTATTTGAATAAATTAGAGTTAGTTTTCTAATCGGTTGTCCGTTTGTAATCTCTTCCATTTGATAATCTCCAGTAATTAATATTATCAAAAATATTATCATAAACTGACCAGCCATTTTCTTTTTCCACCTAGTGTCAGCATTAATAAATGATTTGTGGTATGTAAGGTATCGGGAAAACACATATAAAAAGTGAGCACTTCATCAAAACTAGTGTTTCAAAATGGAGATTGAATAATTATCATATCTACCAATTTTGTACACACGATAACGTACACACTAGCTAAATAGAGTTGATTAATATCGTTTTCAGAAATATCAATGTTTGTGTCAACTTCTTGTTCCATCAACACAGTCTTCATCATCGTATGTAGTTTTCCGTCGTCACCAAACTGTCTTTATCTCAACGGGTTTGTTTTGGTTATAAATTTAACACGGAATAAGTTTATACACGGAAAAATTCAATAATATTTTTAGTCAGTCCAATTTATCACAATCTTTCGTAGATTTATTCTGTCCGATTTTCTTTTGATTTCAAACCTACAATTTTTAATTGTCACATAGTCAATTTTATGTAACCAAGGTCTATTATTCAATGATATTGACTTGTTTTTAACTCTTTTTAAATCATTAAATCGTCGACTTGTGACATATTTGACATTTTTTGATAAGTAATTCATTTATGATATCTGACTTCGAAACGTCATAGTGTTAATTTGATTTGGTCACTTCCATACACACACGTTCTATCCTTTGTTCTGTTAATTTGAATAAATTTTTTATATTTCTAAAAATATAGGCACAAATTCAATGATATGTTTCTTATGGTCTCGTCATCTCTATCATTTATTCACGTAATCTCCTAAAGTGTTCATCAGTATGCTTCAGCTATTCCACAAACTTTGAAACTCTTTATCTTTTTTCAATTCCCTTTATCACTATTCTTTTCTTAATCATGAGTTGTTTTATGATTTGTTTGAAAGTATACGTAGTAAAATGCTTCATAGACTGGTAACTACTCTGGTCTTATCATCATCTACAAACATACATACATACAATACACACTGTTCGAAATGTCCACCAATCCAGTTCTTTGCCATGAGAAAAATAAATAAATAATCAAATGATTTTCATTTCATATTTCTATATTTTAGTTTTTTGTTGCCCTTACCCTTTAGCTTTTTGTCAATGTTTTTCTTTTACTCGAGTTTTCTCTCTTGTTATATTATATACTCATAGAGGGAATATATGAAGTTCGTTTAGATATTCATTCATTTACATATGTTGATTAATTAATACCTGTCAGACAAGTTAGGGTCAAATGCATCCAATAATTATCATCATTAGTAATTTCTAAAAATACGTTTTAATGTGTCATTGTCTTTTGTACACTTAACTATCGAAATATTCACTTATAAATAACAGTCTTTGTCTATTGAATCTTTGTTATGATTGGTTGATTAAACCATTTTCTATGCTTCTTCTTCGTCTTCTACAATTACTTTATTTCTCATTGAATTCTATCCTATATCATAGATTATTTATCCACCTTACTTTTATAACCGAACAATCCTACAATTAGAATATATGGATATAGGCCATCATCGTTATCAGTCTGTTGTCCGTCTAAATCACTATGTATTGAATTTCATGTGTTCTTTTATCATATTAGTTGGGCTTACTTCCTCTTTTTACGCTTGACCTAATTGATAATGTCTGAAAAATAGATGATAGCAGTATAGGTCTTAATCATGCATATTTACATACACAAATATTTTCTTTGTTTGATAAAAAAAAGTAGTTATGGGTATGTATAAACCATGTTTTCATTGTTATAAATAATCTCATAAGAGGCGAGAAACTATTATATATGTAAGTAGTAATAGTTTCTTTGATAGTTTATCTACATATCGTAATTTATTTACGAAGTATCGGTTTATGTACTTGGCTTCGAAGAAAATTATGGTAAAAAATGCCACATACCATACAGTTACGACAACTCTTGAGAATTTCACGACATGAATTATCCTTAGTCAAATTACCGTATCATTTACAGATTCGCTAATAATTTAAGGTTTACAACTTGTCGCTATGTTAAATACTGTATAATTCAAACGGAGAAATGTTAATGATTGACGACATGCTCCAAAATGAATAATTACTTATCACATGTCTATTCTTGCAATACTCAATTCAAATACCAAAGTTCCCATAGAAGAAATTTGTATCTTCAACCTCCTTTGTTCTTGAATATGTGTCATGACTGTTGTGTAAGTACATTCCAATAATCTTGGCACATCAACTACATGACATTAATTTGATAACATTGCACAGTTTTACTAGCCTTGCCCCAACAATATAAAAGATTCGCTGTTGATATTGCTGGGTTTGTTAGTCCAACCTGATATCAGCCTGTATGCTTTAGGTTTTCAAATGATTGTATCGACTGTCTGACTCTAAAGTTCAGTTAAAAACATTTTACGAAATGTACTCGTATTCATGTTCACAACTTTTGACTGTACTATAACTGCATTATCCCATTTCGCTGACGGGTTCACTATGTGGTGATTTAAATTCATGCAATTACACAGCTTCTACTTATCTTTTTGTCTCCAAAAATTTTGTCCATTACCTAACTCGTTTCGATGTCTCATTTGACCTTACTGCAACTCACAAAGGAATTCCACTTTCATGTTCTAATCCATTGTAACATTCCTTTTTTCCTAAAGTGTATAACAAGCTGTTAATTCCAGTATGAATATATTTATGGGATAGATATTTGCGAATCCTACAAACAATTAGCAAGTGTTGTTTTTAGCTTAACAAAAGGCTAGAGAATTAAAATTTATGCTCAAAAAGAGAGATTCAAAAACTCTACCTTCATTTACCATATGTTATGCAATGAAGAATTTACATGAACAGAACTAACCAAAAACCCTTGTAGTTATGATTTACGAAGTAATGCCTATGTATGGTTAAAGACTATGTGATGTAGCTCGAAATGAACCTCGAATCAGCAAAGATGCATTTATTCAACGTCGTTTATGACTAACTCAATGGCAGATTATGTTTTTATTATCTTCGAACACTTGATGAAATTCTCTAATGTACATAATACATAAACTTATGTATTTGCTTTTTGAGGTATATAGTTTATTATTAGAGTAGAACATATCATTCGTCATAAGTATTTACTTGATAAAAGCTCTGGCATAAAATGAACTAACCTGATGATATATTCTTATTAATAATGATTCTGAATGTAATCGAATTATTGACCTCAATGAAATTATTGAGTCAAAACATTCCCATATTATTATTAATAATTTAGTTCAGTAAAACAAAACAGTAAATTACATATGCAAAAGATGTAAACAATAAGAAAAAAAGAAGATTTTCTGTAATCGTTTGTTTATTTTTGCTTGCAATTTCGATTTGTTTATCATTTTTTCCCTTTTTTTCTACTCTCTCTTCTATGAATCTACCAAAAAAAACAAACAAACAGGCACTGTCATCTAATACTGATTTGATATTTATTCGACCAGAATGGATATTTGCTTGTGATCGATCTGGTCAATTGGAAGCATATGAACAATATCAAGTGACATTAAACAGTTAATTGATAGTTAATTCGATAAGAAGTTTACGATGCAAGAAGGCGCAAATATTAATATAAAAACGAAGACACGAATATATATATATATATCATCGTCCTCTAAGTATTTTTCCCTCTGTTATTGATGATAACTATAAAAAGAGAATAAATGTATCTGTCTAATCATTCTCTTTATTTCTTCTGAGATTCATTCTTCTGTTTGATATTTTCTTGTTATATTTCATTACATCATTCACTGTTCAATATGTATGTATATTGTTAACATTTTATTATTTTTCATTATTTGTTTGTTCTTTTATTGAACGAATTTATTTTATGCTTAATTGTACTGTTGTTATTATCATTATAATCATCCTTATTATTGTTATTGTTATTATTAAAATAAAACGTCTGACTGGTAAGTAGTGACTAAAATGTATATTGAAAAACTTATCCGGTCACAGCACAACTTGTTAACTTCATTTTATTATCAGTATAGTGGTTGTGGAGATTGTTAAGTTTTGATTGAGATCATGAACCGATTGATGTTAGACCACCATCACTGGGTGCCGGCTCAGCGGTTCAGTGGGTTAAGCGTTCGCACGCTACACTGTAAGCCCTGGGTTCGAATCCCGCGATGGGGTCGTGGATACGCACTGCTGAGGAGTCCCACAACAGGACGAAACGGCCGTCCAGCACTTCCAGGTTTCATTTTATTAACTGATTACCATTGTTTGTGGATTTAGGGAAGTGGTTGATTGATAAGCCAATTTACATAGATCAATGATTTACGATTTTCAAGATAGTCATTTGATCAGTAACTACCGACCAGCAGTGGAAAGAAGTATTAAAAGAAATCAGAAATATCGAGAAAGTGATATGTTGTGATCCATTTGGTTCCTAGTATCTAGTTGTTTTTGAAGGCTTGATAATAAATTTTAAACTGAGTGACTTTTTTTTAGAAAAATATATCATTCTTGGATCCTTTGTATAATTAAAGCGAATTGCCTATTAAACGTTCTTTATCATCTCTTGGTAAAACTTACTAGGTTTAATATCGAAGAAACAGTTTGTCAGTAATAAGCAACTTAAAACGTGACATATAGATGCATCGGTTCAAGCTATCATACCATATCAACTCAGTAAAATGAAATCATCAAGATAGAGTACCAGTGTGGTGTTTCCTACTTATGCTAACAGACATAAGTAGTATATAACACCAATTGGGAGTGAAATGCCTCGCAGCAGAAAATTGCAATCAGGAGAACAGGAAGACAATCGAAGAGAAATCGAAATACCAACAAAATCAGAGGAATAATGGAATATGTAAAGGATAACAAAAAGAAAATGTACAAATGATGTATTTAATGTATGATTTTCATATTTCACTAAGCCACTTTGTGATTTTGCATTAAACAAAAAATTGATTTTCCCTACTGGAGTTTTCGTTCACTACATTAATAGAATTAGTAACAGCATCAATTGTAATCGAGGCGATCAGGCATCGTAAAGAATTTGATCCGACAAACAATGAATTTCAAGAATCAAAAAGTAAAATAACTAAATATCAAGATCTAATAAAAGATAAAGAATCCTAATACCTAAGATTCAGTTCTTCCATAGTACCTACAACTTACCTACATCTTAAATAAAAAAAAAAGCTTTTTGTAATTAAATAAGGTTTTAGGTCATTGTTTATTCTTTGTAACTTTATTTCTTAACAAATTCAAGGATTTGTTCAATAGATCAGCATTTATTATTATTGACGTTATCAGTTATTTTCCTTCGTAATACACATTTGTAATCTCTTGTAATTAATTCATTTGTAAAGCGAAAACAATAAATATTGTGGAATAAAATAAATTCATTTCATCATTTCGTATACTATTAGTCTTTCACATACGCATTGATTTGTATACATAAACAAAATGTTTTACAAATACATTTTATTACTTAATTTGTTGATGACGAATGACTACAATCACTCTCCATAATTACACAAGTTCAATCCATAGACGAATCGAATAAGCCACAGAGAAAGAGATTAAGACCATGAAGTAATTGAGCACAAGAAACTTGTGCAAATTATTATTGTGATCACAGCAGGTAAAATGATGGATCCATCCTATACTGTGATGAGATGGACGTCCAGTGGTTCCAGGTTTTCACTAGTGATCTAGCTAAAATCATTTTGTGATTTAAACTATGAAAATTTTAAAATCACAAATCTCCCCATACTACAAATGATAAGAGCGGTTGATATTAATTAACAAAAAAGAATAATAATTGTATGGTCATTGGAATATCGCTGAACCCTAGATAAATTATGCATCAAGTTGAACCATTTCTGTTAGAAAACGTTACTGAACGTTGTACAGTCCTCTGAAAATGATCATGGTCATGGATAACTAAAGCTGAGTGACAAATATAAAACATGGAGTTGGTACATGTAGTAGTTAGCCACTCTCGTACATCGTCTTCCTATCTGAATAAGTCACTTCTCTACAGATATTAAGGAAAAAGAATAGCTTGTACTTCATGTTAGGTGTCGTCCAGGTTGTGTAATTACCTTTTAACTTGAATTACTTAAGTTAGGCGGTCAAACTATTCCCATTCTACTCCAGTATATTAAATATCCCCGTAATAGTTAAAGTTGGTATGATAAAATGCAACTACTGAGATTTCTCGACTGGTGAGTGGTCAAAACTCATTGAATAATGCTAAAATAATAAAACAGTATCATAACGATAAACTAAGAATGTAAACATGACTAAAACGAACAATGGTGTTATTGTAATTTTGTAAAACGTGGTAGGAACTATAAAGAGCGCTTGTAAAGTACATAGTTCAAACAAGCAAAATAAAAATCCCAATCTTTTGGAAAAGAAGAGGTTAACAGTTATTTGATCACTGTGTTAGGCAGTAATATTATTAGATTCCGGCTCAATGCTTTAGAGGTTAAGCATTTGCACCCGAGACATAAAGTCCCAGTTTTGATTCATGGATTGTTTTGAGTGAACGTTGTTGAGAAGTCCCACACTAAGACGAATCGATCGTCCGTCTCTTACAGGTTTTCAGTGGTGATGTAAGATCAGTTCATGATTTAAAATCTATGATTACGAATTGTTAATAATTGGATTTCTGACGATATACTATGGATAACAGTGTAAGATAGTTGTGTCTAAAATTACTTAGGTCATACATTGTTTCACATTAGGCGTATGTTCGTCACCCTCTCTTTAACGTGTAATGAGTATGCATTGGAAACAGTTGAACACTCATATATTATATATTTACAAATGTATAACTAAAGAAAGTGAGTTTCTCCATAAAATTTTTTTTATTTTAATGCGCAAACAAAGATCTAATTTGATTTTACGGAACAAAATTTGTTGCATATTTCTAGTGGGACTTTTCGATTATGTCATCGTTTATTGTGCTAAACTGTATTTTCTTTACTGAAAACCAAAATGTACCAGTACAAATCTAAACTAAATAGGATTCAGAAGATATTTACCCAATCACCGTTCTAAAGTATTTATAATGTGTGTGTTTTATACGAACTGCAAGTTGTGCACATTGATCTACTTGAGAAGTAATGCATAAAATGAAAGCCTCTGTACTGACTTTTGAAAAATATGCCCAAGGCACTGAATGAATATGTTTATAATCTCCACCATATCCCAGAATGCGTTTATGGAGATCGGGATTATTTAGGCATAAATACAACCGAAAATAAACTCCTTTAACGCCAATACCGATCGAACATCTCTAATTAGGGAAGGTTAAGTTTTAAAATCATATAACAAGACTTCCTACATTGTTACACTGTACATTTGACCTTTTCTGTACGGATTAATAAAATAACGAGACCGAAAGTCCATCCCCCAGATTAACGTAGCACGTTCTCAACACAATTTGGAACGCTCACAACTACCCAAGTTGTGAAGAATGAAGTATTATATTTATAGCCTAACCTACATTAACTTCTCGGCTCTCAATACATTTACCATTTTATCAAATGCTTTCTAGTTATATCATTTTTCAAACGAATTTTTTTGTTCAATAATTCCTCTATCGTTTTTATCATTTTTATCAAGGTAACATGGTGTAGTTGAACGTTCATATTATTTAATGAATCACTTCACGATCGTTTGCTTTATAGTTGCTCTAGTCAATGTAATGAACGTTTTTAAGAATGAATATATTAATTTGTCAAATATGCTTCTTCATTGCGTTAATCTACTCTCTGTTTTCTAATTAGAATAATTTGTATATTGATAAACCAACAAATTTAATTAGTTCATGTTCAGATAATTAAAATAACCCATTGTGTCATTGAATTAAAATAAAGAAAAATCACCGAAGAAAATTGTCTTTTCGACGAAATCATTTACTTAAGCTGTATGTTCGTATTTATAGTTATATGGAAAATATGTGTCCATAAAAGGATAGAAAAGATTGCATCATAAATTGATTTAAGACTTGTTATGAAATGAGGTTACTCAATAACCAAGGGGTAAGGATGAAAATAATTTACGGGTTAGATAATTGTCCAATTGACAGTTATGAAGAAAAACGACAAACATAAAGATCATAATAATAAAAACTGAATAATAATCAAGAAAACTTGTATAAGGTAATAATAATGATTGATTACAGTTTAAAATTACAAAACATTAATTTAAGTAAATGATTTTGCCGAAAAGAAAATTTTCTTCACTGAATTCTTTTATTTTTTACTTCATGTTTACTTGCTTGTTTTTCTTTTCTTTTATGAAATTCATTAGAACATTTCAAAAATTATTATCAGAAGGGGTTTTGTGAAGATTTTAGTAATTTTGTGATTGAATTCATGAGTCAGTTGAAGCTAGACGATCATGGAAAACCTGGAAGTACTGGACGACCGTTTCATCCTAATATGGGACTCCTCAGTAATGGTGGATGGTGGCTCAATTTTGTGGATTGGTTGAAGTTAGACATTAACACTGTTGGATGCTGACTCAGTGGTTTAGAGGTTAAGCGTTCGCGCACGAGACTGATAAGTGCTGGGTTCGAATCTCGTGGGGGGGTCGTGGATGCGTACCGCCGAGGAGTACCACAATAGGACGGAACGGCCGTCTAGTGCTTCCAGGTTTTCCATGGTGATCTAGCTTCAATTGACTCATGAATTCAACCATAAAATTTCAAAAATACATTGATTCATAACTAATCAGAGAAACGTCATTCATCAGGTATCATACATCTATTTGTTTATTAAAACGAATAGATAATTCAAGTTTAATTAGTTTCTATGTTTTGAACATCAAGGTTTGTTACAATACTAGCACATACTTATCACCTTTTTTTAAACAAAGATAATTCAGAAATAAAAGAACTTTGGATGGTAATAAAAAAAACATTGTTCACTTTAAAAAAAATTGTACTTTTACATTCATGTCACATCCATATAGGCAATGTGATGATGACTCACACATAACGCACAGGTGACGTATCTCATATTTTTGTGTGTATTTTTATAGGCAAAGGTGTCCACGTGTAAAAAAACATGAATTCGTAACCCCTTAGTTGAGTTTCATGAAGTGGGATGAAAGATGTACACATTATATATCATGAATAAGAACTTTCGTCTAAATTTGAACAAAGAGTTTCACAACATTTAGGCGCCGAGTTAATGTAAGTCATTAAAGAGGAAGAATGTATTTGTAAAATCTCAGCGAAAGAAAGTAAATTCAACTTTTCGCCTGGCAATCTGGTCCAAGCTTTTTCCTTGAGATTTTACAAATATACTCTTTCTCTTTAATGAATTATATATCATGGTTTCCACTCTTTTGAATCAATAGCGAACACATGATTTCCCTAAGAGGGTAAAGTGGAAAAGATTGTATGACCTTTATCATTGTTCTCTAAGGAATGCGCTTTCATGAGAAAAGTCATACGTCATACTTTACATCTCTATATCTTGAATACTAGAGTTCATCATATAAAAGGTTCAGACAAAATATAAAGCATTAAATTCTTTTGCATGTTGTCTTCAACCTCATGAGGATTGTGATGTGTGATAGTAATAATAACCGTGAAATAATTAAATCAACCAATAGGAACCCTCTCTACGTTGACTTACTGTAAACTTACTAATCATAATGAATGTAATAAAGGATTCTATGCGATGGAATGATAAAATGATCTCTTTGACAAGTGAAGATAATTTATTACATGAATAGTAACTTCACAAGTAGAATTAGGATTGACGTTTAGTTAAATACATATTGAAAAGACAAATGGCAACAAACTAGTTATCATAACTACACTGATTCAATTTAGTACTGATAGATTAGAACATGTGATTAGACTATAATTTATGGACAACCATTGAGCGACTCTAAAGTGACCTTGAGAACATTCACCAACTTACTAGAGCTAAATGAGGGTTATAAACCTGTGTGAAGAATAAAGATTATGATTTACAGTTGATGGTTAAGGTGGGGGGTTAGATTTAGGGTTTTCATCACGAACTGATATCAGCTAAAATGCCAAAACTATATTTAAGCCAAATGGATGGATGAATTTCGCGCCGAAATCAGAGACCCGCTATCCTAGATCTGATTGGTTCATCCAACTCAGTGATCCAAAAGTGAAACACTCATTGTGGGACCTGTAGGTCTTAGACTTAATTCCCTATTATTTAGTTGTGTATGCCCACTGTCGAGGAGTTTCATATCATGATGAAACAATTTTCCAGTACTTTCTGGTTTTCAATAACTTTCTA